AGATCGAACTTCTCCAAGCGTTTTTCTCAGGCTAACAAGATAAATAACCACACGAGTTAGATAAATTCATGACAAAATTAGACAAAAATAAATAATACATTAAAATAAATAACAATAACGATACCGACTCGAAATAGTTGGTTATACATAATTATGCTTTTAGTCTTCCTTTGCAAGTTGCTTGCATAGTGTCGCATGCACCACCTCCAGTCCCAACCTCTTCCGATGTCACTCATGGCTACATAGAGTCTCGCATGTCTATCTAAGATGATGCATACATCATTTCGATCGGTCAAACCTTGAACGTGACTTATGAACAATGGCCAACTATCAATATTCTCTCTCTCCACTATGGCAAATGCAATTAAAAAAATCTTCTTCCGGACATCAAATGAGCTCGCCATCAATAGCACTCCGTTATACTTTCAAGTAAGAAATGTTCCATCAACAACCATGACTCCTGGACAATTCTTGAATCCATCTATACAAGGTCCATAAGCCCATAATACTCGCTGAAAGATCAAATGACCTGGTTGCGATGAAGGAACTCTTACCCAATCAATCACTGATGTTAGCATTTTTCTCTTTACCACCCGCAAGAATGTTTGCAAATAATCATAGGATTCTTCCTAATTTCCATGCAACTTCTCCAATGCTCTTTATTTCCCATACCAAGTCTTCTTGTAAGTAACTTGCATATTAAATTTATCTTTCAACTCTGCCTGGACAGTTAGAACACTCAGATTTGGTTGGGCACGTACCAAATGTTTCACGGACTCAGATATAACGTCGATATCAAGATGGCGATGATCCATCGGTTGAGTCGTACTGCTACAAGAATGCACCAACTCGGCCTTTCTCACATTTCATTCGCTTCCAACATCTCGACATCCAAACAGCACCATCCAAGGACAATTGTCATCCTTGTGCTTCAAGCATCTGTCCTTCCAGATTGAAGGTGACGACTCCATCATGACATACTGAAAGTTGCGTTGTAGTGCGTGGTATTTAATCGCCACCTGTGCAGCTTGTTTCGAGTGAAATATATGCCCCTTGTAGAATTCTCCTTCAAAACCATCAACAATTTGCATTGGAATTACGCCATATGAATTAGCATATGATAATTCACCGTCCTCTTCATTACCCTGCAAGTAAAAATATGGAGGATAATTAGGTTGCTCTCATTCCCCATCCTCCTCCTCCTCCTCCTCCTCCTCCTCATCATCATCATCATCATCTTCCTCCTCTCCGTCATCATAGTAATGATCGGATGACTCGCTCCATGTCTCATCTTCTTCCTCTCCACCCCGATCCTCACTGAGCTCAGCATGTATCTCAGCACCAAACAATAAGGGTTTTCTGCCATAAAATTGAAAAGCACATTCAAGCTATAATCATCCACAATAGGCACCACATATGAAATAAAACAACATTCTGTCATTCTGGAAGACAGTAAGTGAAACATGTGATCATATCACTATCTTGTACTGCTTCGTCTTTAAGCCGTATTTTCGGAATTAGATTCTCACAAAGTTTGTGATGTGTCACCCTGGATGGAACCGTCAATTGAAAACTTCTACCACCAACGAAATGGACGCCCCAATTGTCCTCTACTTTCTCTGATTTCCACCGAACGACTAGTTCAAATATTCTAAAATCACTACATAAAAAAACAAACTCACTAATTACTAACTAAACAAAATCATAATAGCATTTGAAGAATATAATTAAAAAATAAATGTGTCACTTACCTATTAGCCATCTTTGTAGCAACCCGCAGAGCTTCTCACGTCTAACTTCGTAACATCGATTTTTGTGGTGAGCAACTGAAAGGAAATAACTTGTTATATGGTATTGGAGTGAGTGGGGAAGGCAGCGAACCTGCGTCAGTCCCTGACGCCTCCGCTGGTATTTTGGGAATTGGCCAAAAACCAAAGAAAACGCGCAGACGTAACACTCTCAGGAGGGACCGCTCGTTTTGTATTGAAAAAACTCAAAAAGCGGCTCTGCCTGGGTTTAGGGTGGACTCGCTATGGTTTCTCTCCAAAATACAATATTCGTGTAAATACTTTTAAAACCGCAATATTAGTAGTAAAATTTTTTTTAATTTTTTTTAAGGAATTTACCTGCATTATCTACTGACAGCCCAAAAACGCTGCAAATTTTATTCATAACTCATAATCGCGATAATAGTACCCGAGAACGAGAAGATTACTGAAAAGCCCAAATCTTGACTCAAAGAAAAAGACTCATGATTATTTTTTGCCGCCTCACCACAAACCACCCACCCATTCTTTATTATCTATCCATCTAAGGCCTCCCCAAGCCCAAAACAGAACAAAAGCTACAAAATTACACAAACAAATAACTCTCAACGTTAAAATAATTATTATTACTATATTTTTTTTTTTAGATAAGGGTGATATAGATTACTTTTTTTTGTTATTAGGTACTACTGAAGGGATTCGAACCTGGTGATATAGGTTACTATATATTCTTGTTCTACCTATATAGTTTAGTTGAGTTGGACATTGGAATCACGAGCCATTTTCGGTCTGGAAAAGTTGGTCCAGTGGAGGAGGAGCTTGCGAATTGTGGAGTGAGAGTGAGAGTGGTTTCAGCAGGGAGTGAGATCATGGGAAACTGCTTATTATCATTGGAGAACATCTTCTGCTTCTGGGCAATAGCCTTTTGAGATCTCTGAAGCAGAGAGGCTGCATGATCTGGATAGAAACTCCATGGGCTCACTTGGGGTTTGTGGCTGAGGAATTGTAGCAGGAGGAATCAATGGAGCTTTTGGCTGATCTTGATCATCTTCCACCAAGTGGCTCTTCTTCCAATCAGAAGAAAACAACCCACTATTCATCTTGTGAAAGGAATCAACCCAACAGGAGAAAGAGAAAAGGTACTGTAACGAAGTTGCTATCTTGAGTCTTTAACTGTTGGTCAAGTGCTTCTGGTGTTCAAGACAGGATTCTTATATATGTACAGAGAGACGGGAGCAAGCACGAAGTTGGGGATTGGCTAGAAGAGGAGACAAACCTAGGATTTAAAAAATGGGAGGAGAATCCATAGAGGTTAGAAGAAACTAATTATATTTAAAATTTCATCCACCTATTTAATAATTTACATAGTGTCTTAATTAATATGAAATAAAAATAAAATTTACGAATATGTTATAGAACGGTACTACAAAAATCTTTTGAAATATATAGTGTAATAATAAAATCAAATTATGAAAATTATCACATTTGATTAAACTGTTATGTAACCGTTAAAATGATATTACAAACCATCCATGTGATACAAATTGATTAAAATATTAATATTTAGTTAATAATTAAATAATTAAGAAAATAATTAAGTTATAAAACTATCACATTTGATTAAGGTTACAAAATCTCATGTAATGTAAGTTGATGCGATTGTCAATAGTTTAGTTATTAATAAAAGAATTTTCGTTCAAACTTATAATACGGAAAACTTACGTAATATATTTTGTTTAATTGATAACGGTCAAAGATAACGGTCAAATCTCGGGTTTGGTCAATTTTGTAAGTTTGATGCATAGTTGAAACCACGATGTTATAGATCGAAAAAATTGGACATGATGTTTAATTTGTGAAAAGTTCGTGTCATATAAATATATTAAAGAAACAAATTTTAGTAAGAAATCAACAAAATATAGCCATTTTCCTTTAAAATTAACGTTAGTGTTAACAGAATTACACGTAAGCTAATCGCTAGCCCTATGTTTGACACATCGGCGTCATGTCAATTAATTTTTTTTTTCATTATAAAAACGGAGGGTTATAAATTACTGTCTCCACCAGAGATTTCGATCTCCCTTTGGTCTACTCTGACGTAGAGGCCCATTTTCCATCACCAGCGGCTACTCGTCTATTTCCTCAATAGTAACAACAACAGAGTAGTCTCCGTTGAGAAGCACAGTTGAGAGATTGGAAGAGAAAATCGAAATCGCCTACTAAATTAGGTTTATTATACCCACATTCCTCGATTGACTTTTGAGAGAAGACGGAGGCAATGGCTGTTGATGCATATGGTGGTTTGGTTTGGCTAATATTTCATATTCTCAAAGGTTTGGATAATATTTTGTATTCTCAAAGGTATAGCTAACAAAATAGTGTTTGCCCTTCAAAAAAATTAAAACAAAATTAATTGACATGGCCCTTATGTGTCGAACACGTGGAATGACGATTAGCTTACGTGTATTCTGTTAAGGCTATCGTGAACAGATAATGTTTATAATTTTATATTATGAAGAGCACTTCTACTGTGCTTTAAAATATTGGTGCTTTAAAATACAATTTGAAGTTGTACCATGACGTAAAATTTACAAATTTGAAGTTGTACCTATACTCTTTTGTAAAATCCCTTTATGGTACAAACTAAGCTAAAGTTGTACCTTTATGTTATTGTACAAAATGTCTATAGGTACAATCTAAGGTTGTATCATAATGTTAAAGGTACAACTTCAAATTGTATCATAAAAGCAAAAACTAAAGCAACAATGCTTTAAAGCATTGTAAAATTCCTCTGTTATAAAAAGTATGACTAATATTTAGTATTTTTAAAGATTTGGATAATATTTTAAAACCGTCAAAGTTTGGCTAAAAAATATTAACTACCCACTACCCAGTAATCAATATATTGGATACTATTTACTATTTCTATTGGAGAAGGCAATTATGGAACCGAGCATACATACAGTAATAATGATTCGATGCCAGAATAAATGCATCCAAATCCAATTGTTTTTTAGGGAGTAAAAAATTGTAATAATCAAATGAAAATTTGGGAAGGACTGAACGTAGTGGCCAGTGGGTCAGGGTGGGAGAATGTGGTAGCAGGGCTAGAGGTCCAGCTCATAATTCCGTCGCATGCTTAATGAAAGACCATATTGTCCTTCCGTGAACTGCGCAGAAGCCAGGAAAAGGGAGTTTGAGTAGGCGTGGAGGGAGAACCTCCTTATAGTGATGTTAGGATAAGTAGCTCCAACCTTCCACTCCCCTGGAATGGCAGTCTTGGACTCCACCCAGGTCGTTTCCACGCTGCTCACCAGCTGGAACCTCACTCTGAGTTGGCCCTTTGGTGGGGTAACCACGTCGAAAACGGCACCGTACGCCCTCCTCATCCCTCTCCATTGCTTGCAATCCTCCTGGCAATCCAATTAATAAACGTTGTACTGATCAACATTTGTTGTCGTCGTCATTACAATTCCAACACTAAGTATGTATGTATAGGTGGTAGGAAGGAACAAACCTGCCAAATGTCGACCGCTGTGACGTCGTACTGGCCGGCTTGGTAGAGGAGGACGACGGCCAGGTAATCGGGGTACTTGCTGTGCTCCTTGACTTTGAAGACGATGTTGTAGCCGGCGTAGCGGCAAGGGATCCTCTTGTACTCCACCTCCACCACGCCGTACTTGTACAGCTCCGGCGCGCAATTGGGACGCGCCATCCTCCCGTAGGCGCGTGGGCTGAGGATGAAGTCCGTGTGGTCTCCCTCGCCGTAGTCCGTCACCACTATGTTCACGCCGTCGTCGCTGCACACATTTGGCGCCTTGCACCTTACCTGAAAAATCAACAATTGATGAAACCATATATCATTATTAATTATTGCACAAGACTAACTCAATTGGGACTATACATTAGTTTAATGAGGAACTTATAGGAAATAAAACACTATTATTTAGTGGGAGGTTAATTAATTAATTAATTGCATACCTACCAACTTTATTTACCACATCATCAGTTTTGATCTTATATACATCTATGAGCCAATAATTGCTTGCACTAGATACTTTTGAAGTTATACTATACACTTCTTTTTTAATTAATACTCATGTCTAGTATTTATAAGATATTGGAATTCTAAATTAAAACAGGTATTGACTAAATTATATTGAGTTACCTGGTAGCAACCGCCACATCCTGTACCTTTCTTCCAAAGTCTTGACACGCCAGCTACATTAGCGTCATTAACATTCCGTCCAAATTCACCATAGCCACAAGCTCCCGCTGAAACCCAACAAGATCGGTAATCAATCATAGAAAATACTGATAGTGAGTCCAATTGTAACGAAGATAACTAGTAATATGCATGTGAAATGAACGAGAAATAACTAAGTTTGGTGTTTAGTTGACAATGACACTTTTACACTCCAACTTAAATGCATATAAAAAAATTTTACTTTGCTTAAAGTTTCGACCATCTTTACGCTTAACTTTTTCATCCCGGGATAGAAAACTACTAATACAATATTATATCTACTAAAACGGAAGAACACAAGCAAGAATCAGACTAGCTCAAACATATCAACTCATATTCAGTTACTGCTTCCCATATAGTTTCGAATCAATCAAATAAAAATATAACAATGCTAGATTACAAGATGGAAACATACTTGGAGTCCCTAAGCAATCAGGACTACCATAGTAAGTAGCTCTTGTGGAGACGAATTCGAAGTCATCCCCAAGGCCTAGTCCAGGCAATAGCATTGCTACCACAAGGCCAAACCCAAAAGCAGCAAGTGCAAACCCAGCCATAGTTCTGCAAAGCAATATGGAGAGCAAGGTACGTACTTAGGTGGATGAAGAAAAAAGAGTAGAAAGGGAGGGATGTGGGGAATTAGAGGTTTATGGCTCATATTTATAGGTGCTGATGAATGGCTGGCCACTCCTTTACTATTAAGGCAGCTGCTGCCACCTTTGCTATGATATATTTACATGCCGACTTTCTGCTTTTTAAGGCATTTTGACCACTTGGTTTTCAGGCACAATGGACTGCATACATGTGTTGATTATAGTGCAAGTGGTACTACGTGATTTTTCTAGTGACTAAACATGACACGATTTAGTGACTAAACATACAGTAAACTCCACAATATCACATAGAAAACCCTCCATAAATTCAAATTAATTAGACAATACTCATACAAAATACTCCATAAATTGAAATTAATCGGACATACTCAAGAAAGACGAGATCGCTACAAAATGATTTTAGTACAAAATTTTTCCTGTCCAGACCCAATCCACATTCAATGATCTACTCACTGAATCATATACCATAAGAGTTATTTGTTCCGAAAATTACCCCACTCAAATCTATAACATTTTTTAAAAAAATTCAGCGTGTCAACCACCTCGAACATGGCACTGAAATGTATGTAACAACATAGGCTTTTTTAAGGAAATGGGTCACATCTCCACTGGATCTCCTGCCCCAGAAAACAGAAGCCAATTCCACCTGCTCCTCAGCTCATTCACATACCGAATCCCTCTTCACCACCGCCAAGTACTCATGATATTGAGATACACTGTGATGGCTCCTTCTTCAGTGAGTCACAGGAGGCGGCCTATGGCGTTGTTGTCTCGAACAGCCACGGTCAAGTGAGTGATGGTAGAGCTGAGATCATGCATTGTTTTTCCCCGCTTGAAGCTGAAGCAAAGGCGCTTCTGGAGGGCGCGCGTCTAGCAACCAGCCTCTCCTCTCCTTGCCTCGTCAAATCCGACTGTCTCCCCCTTGTTAATGCCATTCATGAAAGCCCGGGGTCTTGACCCTGGAAAGCAGCAGCGTGGATTGGCTCCATTAGACAGATTTTGGGTTCCAACCCTTTGGTTCGGATTAAGCATGTTAGGCGTAGGAACAATTGTAAAGCAGATTGGTTTGCTAGGTCATGTGCCAAGAGATCACTACCCTCCCAATGGGTACAGATTCTTGATGTAATTTCCCCACTTCTGTAACAATTGGCTTCAAAGCAAATGAAATACAATGTCCCTTTGTCAAAAAAAAAAAAAAAAGGGCAATGTCTATTTTTTACCCAAATCTTTTTCAGATTCTTTTATTTTAATCAAACCTATAGAAATTCTATTTATTATCCAAACGTATTATAATTTATCAAAGTCTGGGCATTCATTCTGTTACCGTTACTTATTTCGTCCACGTGAGAGGTGGGATTTTGTTTTGTTTTTTGATAATCTTTTTATTAAAAATAGTAAATGATGATATTCTGACCGCCACGTAGGAAGTCAACTCATTATGGTCATACCTAGTCAGCATTACTAACAGAAAAGTTGACGGAGAGTTAACGTTTGGATAATTTTTAGTAATTCAATAGGTTTGGTTAAAATAAAAGAATCTGAAAAAGGTTTGGGTAAAAAATAGATATTGCCAAATAAAAACCATGTTTAGGTTTTCTTTTGTTTGGGGATTGTGGAGAAATTGGGGTAGGTAGACTCGATTTGTTTGTTTTTTTTTTTTTATCATCGTCCATTTTGCACTTGGCAGCAACTTGTTTCAATACAAATATTGCAAGTTCAGGAAGACGACTCAGCACAGCAATAAAGAACTGCACTGCCACTAAACCAACCACCTGCTGCTGATTGATTGATTACGAAATAATGACATGATTACTGAGTAATTCAATCATATCTAAAGCTTCAACAACAAATACTACAGATTGAAGCAAGGGTAGAAATAAGCCTCAATGTCAGTTCGACAAGTGTTGAAACTAAGGATACAGAGTGAAGAAAGAGGAAATGTGAAGAACATTGTACATTGTGGTCACAAATGCTTCCCCACCACCAATTCCCAGGTATACTTAAAACAAAGGGGGAGGTAGCTCCCGAGCCTTTTTCTCCACTGCTGCTGGAAAAGCTTCTTCGCTTGCCTCTTCTCTTAGCATTGCACCTTCCAAACTCCGAAGCTTCAGCCCTAGGCAGCAAAACCAAACATGTTTGACATGGCTCTAGTCTTCATCATTAACTTGCATATGAGAATCGAAACCAAAACTAGATTTAAAATTGCATCGGTTCAAGGTCGAGTCCAATCCAAATGTCGATTCAGTACAATGTGAATCGACTGACCCACTCCCCAATTTATGCTTAAACCCACAGATCAATTGAACACAATTTGCTGTACGATGGTGACAACCACTAGAGCAGGCAAGCTATAGTATTGGCAATACATCGTACAAGTGTCAATAAAAAAGGCCCTAACTAACAGCACCATCCAACTCTAAAACAGTGGCCAACACAATAATAATAATGGGGCTTTGTGCAAGTATGAGTATCAATCTAAATAGCTATATCCCACTTTCAAGCAAATAATAAAGAGCAAACTCAACTTTGACTTGGTGCTGAGTGTTCTTTCTATGTGTACGGTTCATATCTCTACAGAGCTGCTTAGAACTTGGCATCATCTTCATACATTTTTGCAAGCAAAGAAAGAAATATCAATAAGTCATAAACACTACCACTAAATATGCTGCCTCTTTTTTCTCAGTATCTAACACAGAACAATCAAGAAGCGCCAGGTTAAATCAAATACGGGAAAGAATTGTGCAACAGATGGACCAATAGTAATGGGGAAGTCTCACCATTAATAGAACAAGTACCTTGATAATCAAAGAACAGAATAACACAGACAATTGCCCAGTGCTTGACGATGTAACCTAATTCAGGGCTGTCTACATCTTTTACCAGACAGGTGGTGCTCTTCCTTGGCTGAACCAAAGAAGGGAAGCTATACTAACTAAAACATTGTACCTTTATGCCACCAGTCGATACTACAATTGATGAGGCTTTTTACCCTTAAGTTTCTAAGAAAACTATTTCAATTGCTATTCCAAAGCACCAACTAGTGGGTTGGATCTAAACGGTAGCACAAGCCCAGAACTTTATGCATCTGAATTCAATAACAAAGCTAGCCCTTTGGTTCCCAACCGTTTGATCACTTCACTACAACTGTGTTTAAAAAGTGAGCAAAACCTATCAGTTCTGATTACTTAGTTTCTTCACAATAATTTTACTGAAAAATTGATGTTCTATCCGACTAATTGGTACTTTCACTTTCATTTCATTTTTCATAGTGCTAAATGATTCGTCCACAATAAAATCCTTTACCAATCTTCTCTTGGACAAAGTTGGGCAGCTTCTTTGTACTTAAAACACTTCTATTACTATATGACAATCAACTAGTTAGGAAAGACAACATGGTACCCAATTAGTTAAACAGGACGGGTTACTTACCACTTCGATAGCAAGGACCTAACTGAAGTACCAATCAAATTAATATAAAAAGGCTAGGTACCAACCCTTCATTGAGAGTACATGTTCTCTACGTAAACAGTTCTAATCCATTTAAGTAAAGCTTGTTAAACATCAACCCACCAAAACCCAAAGGATTGGCCAAGTAGTATTTAGAATGACAAACATTCAACTAAACCTAGGTTTGAATCTTAAGGCAGCCATATTTCCCTAAAATAAAATTCGGAATAAGAACTTGTATGACTGACATGCGATTGCATGTTACCTCACACTTGTTAAAACCCACTGACATCATCTACCAGCAATTATATCAGCTGTGCCTTTTTAAGGTCAGAAACAACTCCACGGTCTTCGCTGCCTCTTTCATTGTACAAGACCTAAATGCCACAAAAAGTTATTAAGAAAGGTAAGCTACTCCATATGACAGATAAAGCCTATATATTAAACCAAAAACTGGGTAAGCTGAAGTACTTTGTCTATGATTCCATATTCAACTGCCTCAGCTGGACTAAAGTACTTTGGCCTGCTGATATCAGCTTCAATCTGTTCAGATGTCTTCCCAATGTGCTTTGCAAAGAGGTTGACCTGGACAAAGAAAAATTCACAGATGGGCTGGCTAATGAGCACAAGGTTCCACCAACTAGCTGAAACTTGGGAAGATGGAAACTTTACAAGTAGTCCAGCACTAATACTTTATTATCCCACAAATGAGATTAGCATGTTAAGAATTTGAAAGCAAGGGGATCATTATCATAACTTGTGAAACGTCATCAGAGGCTCACCAGTTCTGCTTTAACATTATTCATTTCTTTTCTTGCAAGTTCAACATCTGTAGCTTGGCCCTGAAATCTCCCTATGGGCTGTAGACAGGAGGGTAAACTTCAGTATAGACATGAGCCAAAAGCAAGATAGTGATAATACAACCCAAAGAAATGATAGCAATGCCATTATTATCTCTATTTACCTGCTTAATCATGATAGTTGACGAAGGTAATGCAGAACGGTTTCCTTTTGCACCAGCAGCCAATAGCAAGGCAGCCTCTCCCCAAGCATTACCAACGCAGAGAGTGAATATCGGTGGCTTTACATACCTGAAGCAGAACATTAGTCATTTAAGATCAAAATAATTGCATGCATGCATAAAGAAACAACTATAATCGACTAGATAATACAAAACACAACATATTGTTAGAAACGGAGGAAGAAAAATGAAATCATGATCATACAATAGCACATCAAGAAGACGAGATTACAGTTTGAAGCATCGATGTACTAAGGATTGTGTAGATATAAATCAAAAGAAGTATCAATCAGTAAGAGCATGAAGAATCATTACCCCATAACATCATAAATAGCAAAGGCCTCTGTCTCATAACTCAGCTTTTCACCACCCTGAAAAAAGAACGAAGGAAGTTAACAAGACAAATGACATGTAAACCAAACTTTTGCATGAAACATTACTTCAGGACGACAATAATATTTCTTCATGACTTTCTATGAATGCACACATTTCTATATGCATTCTTGGGCATAAACAGGTGTAATGATAATTACGCGAAATGCAGAGAAGGATTCTTGAAAACGGGTCTGTTCGTTGTCAAGATCATTTGATATTTTCTCTTTCACAAACCTATGGAAACATCAAATTCAGGTTCCTAGTGAATAAAGTTACAACAGAAAATAAATGGAGGAAGCCAAGGAACCCAGCTATGATATTTCCTTGCGCTGTGAATTAGAGATTTCATCAGGAGCAGGCCATAGAAAGGTTAACTCAATGTCATGAGTATCCATTTCTTAGCAGACAAGAAGCAGAAGCCGCCGATGTAGTTCATCTCTATAACCAAGGAACTCGGAAGAAAAGGTCAAGATACCTTACGATGCTAATCTAATTTAGCTTCTGAACACTATGCTAAAAATGACAGAAATATACAAGGACTATGATAGTATATATACCATTTGAATATATTACATCTAGAAATAGCCAATATTTAGAGCGTAATAAGAAGACCCTGAGAAACAAAAGGTTAGGATGTTAAGGAGAAGAAGAGAATGCCTTGGTTGTCCCTGTGGAGTTGATGTACAGATATATAGGTTTTTCTTCATCTTCATACTGAAGGTAAAGAAATTCTGCAAGTATTAACTCGGTGACGGAAGGAACAAGGGACATGCCCAGGTAAACAATCCGATTCTTGAACAAGTAAGACGCCAAATCGGGAGGAGGTTGCTCCCACGCACTTCCCCTTGTATAAGGAATAACCTGTACAGAGAAACGCGCGACAACGTAGTTATAACCAGAGGAATGTACAATGATACGGTAAACATGTAAGAATACAGAAACTCACTGAAGCAGAAATTTTTTATGGAATAATCACATGAAACCTTCATTATTATCCTGAAGATGTACCAACAGTAGACATCATTCCAGCAAAACAGACTATGTAGCTCCAGTATGTGTGCTACATGAGTAAAATATGTTTCTGAATGTTTATGACCAGACTCCCAATACTTCCTAACAACATTTTTAGCTAAAAACTCCCAAAGTCACTCAATCTGATATAAAGTTGAAGTCACAAGTAGACTCGCAAAGTAACAACTTCCAGAGTAATAAAAGGCCAATAGCCTTGTCATTCAGACTTGCAATGGCTACATAAAATTTAAATTTTTTCAAGGATGGCAGCAAAAATATGGTCTCTTTCCTATTCTAAAGGTACTCTAAGCATTGGAAATCTCTTCTTTAGAGAAAGCAGGCTAACTGCCGTGTTCTTCCAGTTCTTCCATACGGAATACATGTTACTTCGACTATACAGCTATCCAGTATCCACCATCCCCCTTGACACTTCATTATCCAAACTGGAAGCATTCTAGTTAATGGAACACTGTCTTACATCCAGTTTTCAGTGTTCGACAATCATATCCAGAACCTATTCACCAATATATACTCCTTTAAAGTTCCCGACCATAAACATTGTCTAGCATTCCACCATAGCCTGCTTTGTTACTTGCTTTCTTAGACCTTAACGAGATCGAAATTCAATATCCCAACTAACCAAAATTGCAAATTCATCAAGGTATCCCTTTAGTTCAATATTCGTCAGCAAAACGGGAAAAGAACAGTACCATGACGACAACGCTTCGTTTGGCCTTAGAGCTTGGAATTGGTGCTGGATAGAGAGCGTCGGGCTTGCTTCCAATTCCATACGATTCCCCAATGGCGCCGGACGAGAAGGGAGAGACAGTGCTTGCCGACAAAGAAGTCGACGAAGAAGGCGAGGAGAAGAATGAAAGAGCTCGGTTGCGGTGAATTGGCCTGGAAGTAGCTGCTGGGAAAGATGAGGTGAGCTTCGGAATCGCAATGCTTGAAGCTGCTGCTATGGCGACCTCCATTTTTTCTGTGTTCGTTTTTTTTCTTTCGCCACTGTAGGTGAGACTGCCGAGGAGAGAGACAAGAAGGGAGAAGAAGATAATTTGGACTCGAAGTCAGCTATATTGATGGGCTTTTGACTATCTTAGTTGGCTCAAAGCTGTGATTCCAGTATGGGCGTTTGGCCCAACGTCCTGAATTGGGTGGATTTAGAGCAAATTACTTCTCGCTGCTCTTTGTTTTCAGCCTAGTTATTCTGCTTAGGGGTGGCTATACGGTCCGGTCCGGTTAAATTGGCCCAAATTGATCCGGTCCAGTCCGGTTTTTTTGAAAATATAAGGACCGAAGATTGGATTGGATACAGTCCGGTCATGATCCGGTCCGGTCTTGACCGGGTCCGGTCCCAATTCGGTCTTGGTTTTATATTGAGATTGTGGGAATTTGAGTGGCCTAAGGCCTAAAAGGGTGAGGAGTTGGTTAAGTTTTGTACTAAGTGCAAAGGTTTGTGACCGTTTATGCAAATTACCCTTAAGTTTTGGATGTTGAGCTCTCTTATCCGGTCTTTATCCGGTTTTTTACCTCAAATCTAAGCCCAAAGATTGGATTGGATTGTTTACTATCCGGTCCCGGTCCGGTCTCGGTCCGGGTTATACGGTCCGGTTTCCGGTTTTTCATCCGGTCCCGGTCCAAATAGCCACCCCTAATTCTGCTAACTTGAAAATTCGTTAGTATATACTAACTAATATTCAAAATATATGAACTAATATCCAAGTCTGCTGAGTATCTAGATAACACATACTAGTATTCAAAACATCACAAACTAGTATCCAGATAGCAGATACCAACTAATATCCACAATCAACCAACTAGTATTCAATATGGATACTCTTATGTGTTATCTAGATACTCTTAAGTGTTATCGGGATACTAATTATGTGTTATATGGATACTATTCTATGTTGTCTAGATATTAGTTTATGAATTTGGGATAATGGTTGATTCATGGTGGATATCAGTTAGCAAACTTTGAATACTAGTCTGTGCTCTCTAGATACTTTAGTACTTGGATACTAGTTCATGTATTTTGGATATCAGTTAGTATCTGCTAACGAATTTTCAAGTTAGCAGATTAACTTTCCCCCTTTGTTTTACAAAAACTACGGTTAAGATTACAAGTAATTTATCGAAACAAATTTCGGTGAGTTAGACTGCTAACCTCATGCTAATCATTCTTATCGTTGTAAACAACTTTGCAGTTAAATTTGTGAGAAGTAATGAGAGACGTATTCGGTGTATCGAAAAATTAATTTAATAAATAAATTATATTTTAAATATCTATCTTTTTTTTAATAGATAGTTTTTTACGTAGAAAGTATTAATAAAATTAATACTACTTAAATTAGTGTGTTTTATAGGGATGGAAATGGGCCCGCGGGCCATGGGCATCACCCGGGTCCCGCACGCCAGTGGTGGGCTGAAATCCGCGAAAATGGGCTTGTTGACAGTGACAGGTAGACTTGCGACCTGCGGATTACGGTGACGGGCTAGGGACGATTCAGCGATCCCCGCCACGTATCCATCCCGATAACAAAACGACGTCGTTTTGTACTGCATATATAAACGTCGATTTTAGGGTTAGGGTCTGGAAACATCATTTTCACCAACACCCCGCCGCCCTCATCCCCGATTTTCTCTCAACTCTATCAAGTGGAATCACCGATTTCTGCCCAAATCTCTTCGATTCCGATGATTTCTCCTCATTTCTCTACTGATTTCTCTAGTAAATCGACGATGTCACGCCAATAACCCCAGAGCTAATCCTTAATCAAGCCCTCAGTCACCTAAAATGTCTCAATCGACGCAAATCGCCTTCGAATCGTGCATGCAGAGGAGTTCTTTCCCATATCGAGATAAGTATTTAATGCTTTCTTTCCTTAGTCGATTTTTGCTTAAACGTGTATAAATAGGAGACTCACTTCTTCGTTTTGTTCATCTGTAGTTCTTCGAACCCTAATTCCAGAAATCCTAGCCTTTCAGATTTCGAAACCCCACTGCTTATTTGTCATTCTCAGTAAGTATAGCATACTGTAGTTCATTTGATGATTTGTTGCGGGTGCTTGCTTAGTCTTTCAGAATCAATAACACTAATTTGCTTGCTTCTCTGCTTTTGCAGATTTCTCCTTTTTGTGCTAGAATCTCATCAAGCAGCCGGTACTTAAACTACAGTCTGCATAGGTAAGTCGACCCTAGATTGTTGTTGGTTGTTCGTAGCTAAACCTGAATCAGAAACACTAATTTTGCCTGCTTGTGTTTTTGCAGATTTCTCCTCTATGTTGAGGAATCTCATCAAGCAGCTGGTGCTTCACTGCAGTCTACTTAGGTATGTCGTCGACCCTAGCTTGTAGTTGGTTGTTCATAGCTAAACCTAAACCTGTCAAATTTATTATGTTGTAAGTAAACCAAAGGGTGAAATCTGTAATATGCTAAACTGGTCAATCGACCTGATAAGCCCCAAATAACCGGGATTGTCGTCACAAGCTCACAAACTTCAACCTTCCTGACTTGTTAGTGACGAAACAAAATGGATCCAGAAAAACAGGGGAAAAGAGATGGTGCGGAGTGCAACTTCGACACCACTCGCGGGGAATAAGCTCAACCGAATTCAAGGTAGCAACCTGACCACGATTGAGGTGATGACTCAATCGATACAAGGCTCACTCATCGCTGGAAACCATACTACACAACAAGGACAAATCTTTGAGCAAAACACTTAATGAACAAGTTCTTTGATTATTGATGTCTAACTATTACAATGGAGTTTCTAGGCCTTTAAATAGATAAACTTAAACCTAATTAAACTACAAACGAACAAGGAAAGCTAATTAAACTATAATATGGCTAAGGTAACAATCCCAAACTGAAAAGGAGTCCAAACTCGTCCATACTACCATTTCTTCTAGCTTAAGTAAACTGCTTCTCAAACAGGTTCCATAGAATCTTTGAGCCTCTCGTTCATGACCTTCCCGACCTCCATTTACTCAGCCAATATCTTGCTTCTGTAGACAATCAAACACTTTCATGTGGTGTAAAGATCCTCCCTTGATTTGATACCATCTGCTCGAAATAGAGCCTCAAAATGGCTTCCCTGATCACAGTCTGACACTTGGACAAATCCTGCCAATTTTCCTGTGTTGATGCAACCTTTTGTCAAGCCTGTAAAATGGCTTTCTGAGTTCTCCCTTGATCTGCCAGACACCCTAACTTGTAGAGGAGATCCCCAGCTTCAAAACAAGACCCTAGACTCATATTTTCACCCACCTAATAGGAAGATCCAAGCTCCCAAAGTTGGCTACCCGAACTCATCATAACACTTAGCCAAAAATTCAGATTGAGCAAGTAAGTTGACTTAGCTTCTTGGACAAACAAATCTAACTTAGAATAGAAGCAATTCAAAAAAGCTTTGCCCTCAAAGCTGGTTCTGTCCTCTTCTCAAAATCTGCACAAAATTGAGTCCAAATCGAGTCGAAAGATGGCGTCCCAAACTCCATTTTCTGCCATTCAAAAACAGTGTTCTTGAGCAAAGAAATTGGGGCTTTTCGATTCAGGTCTCGCCAAGACAATTCATTGCTCCCGCGAGGTTGGCTACACCTCCAATCGAATTCCTCAACTAGCATTGGGTCCCGACTCGTCGTCGTTCGTGGTGACCCAACTCCTCGTCCATTCCTGCCAACGCAAACATTCAAAAACGACTTAACCAGAATGTTTGACTTCAATTTGGGCGTTTCGGTTCCAAGAATGGTAGCAATGATTATGCCGAGTCCATTGGGATCGATTCATGCCCGAGCATCCCAATCCATTCACACGAATTCCCTTCTTCCTTATGCGCGTTCGAGTCACTTTCGCCTTCGAAGGAGATTCCCAGGTTCTTGGGGTATGTTTCGGCGGCATTGGCAAAGCTCGCGGTGGTGCCAGCTGCTCCGACCAATAGCTTCTCTCTCCTGCCCTGTTCCGTCGCCGAAGAGCAGAGCACCCAATTCTCTGGCGGCTGGTGCGGTCCTCCTCGCCCTAGAGCTGTTAACATCAACCTTCGAGTCATCAAACCAGCTTCATCTCCCTTTCCCCTGCACCAATTCACCTTCATTTATTGCTGATCGGCGTGGACTTTGGCCGGCGATAGCGGTTTAAGCAAGAACTTGCGGTTTGCCAGCCTGAACCGGTAGTAATTGGTCATTCCTTCGTGGATTGCTAATCATACTGCCATGGTCGCCCAAGCAGTAGGTGAGTAGCTTGCATCGGAGCTACGTAACACCAAAGCTCGTCCTCATAGTGGCCGATTTTGAAACGTACTTTGGCCTGTTTGTTCACTTTGAGGGTGCCATATTCATTTAGCCAATGAAGGATATAAGGTTGAGGGTGTTTGATCGTGCCTAACCCGAGCTTTTTAGCAGCATCTAAGCTCACAACATTAGTATAGCTGCCCCCATCGATCACGACGAAAAGTAGTCTACCCTTAACCGTACAACGAGTGTGGAACAAGTTGTCTCAGTGTTCTTCGTCAGCGCGAGATTCCTGAGTAAGAGCTCGACGATTTACCCCGAGTAGCTTGCCTGTGGGAGGAGTTTAAGCTTCTATGGACTTGTCAATTTCAGAATGGGATTCACCCTTTTCTTCCCTGTCCTCCACTGTTTCATCTTCGGAAATGACTTTCCCATCCTGAAGCACCAAGGCCTTCTTATTTGGACACTGGTTGCCCTTGTGGCCTCTGCCGAAACACTTAAAACATTGGATGCTACTCATCGATCAGCCCGGCTTCTCGTGGGACACCAGAGCAGTAGTGCGGGGTGCGAATTTGGCTCCCTCCAACCTGGTCTGTTCAGGATTAATTGCAGGGGTGTGTTCTGGAACAGACTTAGAGTACCTTCTTCCCGCACTTGCTCGTTGCTGTCGTTCCACCTCAATCGCAAGGTGAACAACTTCTTCCAGTTCGACGAAGGGTCGTAGCTCAACTTCTAACCGAATTTCATGATTCATGCCATGAAGAAACCTGGCAAAGGTGGCTTCTTTGTCTTCCCAGATGTCAGCGCATCATAAGGAGCTCTAATTC